AATGTAAACCACATATTGCATGTTGCGAATGCATGCTACAAGCTCTAAACAGGAAATGATTATATTCCATTAAGTGGTCAACAAAAGAGATAGCATCAAAATGTCATCTAACTAGCATGTCTCCCCGAAAATAAGACATAACTGGAAAATAAGCCCTAGCATGATTTTTCAGTATGCTCATCATATAAGACCCACCCCCCAAATAAGCCCCATTTAAGGTTGTCAGCCAGACAGACACATTTAGTACTGTATTTCCCTGAAAATAAGACCTAACTGGAAAGTAAGCCCTAATGCGCCTTTCGGAGCAAAAATTAATATAAGACCCAGTCTTATATTTGGGGAAATACGGTAAGCAAAGATACTTTACAAATATCAAGCATCAAATTCCTTTGCTTAAAATTCACAGCTCTAAACATAGCAATCAGACTATGAATAAAAAAGAGAGTTAATTTGTTAATTTGCATAAATTAACATTTATGCATTTGTTAATATTAAGGGTGTCATTTGCACTCCTTATGCATGAGAGTGGCAACTGACAAGATAAAAAAAAAGCTCTTCTCTATGAAATTTTAAGTCATAACATCATAGGGTCCATATAGCCAATAGATCATAGATCTTCTAGTGTTTGGAAACACATTTTTCTTTCTCTTTTTTTCAGACACAGTAAAAGACAAAGTAGATGCATCATCCATTTCTTCAATCATTTTTCCCCCAAAGAATCTAAACGTCCTATGATAACTCAAGCAACCGTTATTAAATTAAATACAATTTATTTTATAAAAAGGGGGGGTTTACTTTTTTTTATAAAAGTACAACCCTAATCCTGAAAAAGCTTTCAAATAAATATCAAATTGGTGCCTACTGAAAAAAAATACTGCATAATAAGAAAGCAACATTGCCTCAATTTCCTCCAAAACTTGCCTGGCTTGATTTCCATTTATGGTGGTGTTACAATTGGATTTAAGTTTCTGCATGAAATACAATATTCTCTGACGTGAAAAGATGTAGACTGACTTACCAGTAATTCGGTTTTCAATTTCCCCTTGCATTTGAAGGGAGTCCACATAAATAGTCCTGTTTCCAATGATTCGCGCACAGGCAATTCCCCTGTAAGGCTGGCAAAACCCATCTTCATGGTAATCTTCCCTGCAAGAGACAAATTGGAAGCTCATAACTATGTCTACAGATGTTTCAATGTCCCTACTGAGTTTAAAAGTATGTTTTTTTTAAAGGAAATCGGTGGTAAAACTGACATTATTAATTCTCTCTGACATCAATTTTCATTTCAGTTTAACTTGACATTGTTTTGGAAATAAAAAAGGCACCAAGGAACATTTTAATTGAAGGGGTGGATGGGAAAGACATCTGCAAAGTGAAAATAGGCATTATCCTGTAAATGCTAAGCTAATGCAATGTGACAGATCATTTTATTTAAAAGATAGTAGTATGTGTCACGTTACACCCATAATACACTGCTGGTATCAAATGTCAAGCTAGGCAATTAGGCAAGCAGTTGTTTTCTCTTCTCCTATCTTGTCCTGCAGTTCTTCAATTCTTACAATGGACAGCAAAACAGATCTTGTCAAGATGTAATTAAAATATGGCATAATTCTGAACTAGGGATTAGGTAAATGGAATGAAATCAGTGCTTAACTTCTGTCTCCCCCCCTCTCTTTAAGTTGCACTAATGCCAAATTCTTTTTCCGTTACAGAACCTAAGTCATATGTTGAGTTACTTGCTATCTTGGGTGAACTCTGTCCAATTTTCCAAAATGAGTTTAACACAGTCAACTTAAATCGAGCTGCTCCAGAACAGCACTGATTAAAAGCCATTTTTCTCAATGTCTTGTACAGCCAAATATTAAGAACTGGAAAGACAAGTGGCCCTCATACCTAGGAGTTACCATTTCATCCAGGGTATCCATTACGTTACCTTCCCACTGAGGTGGTACCTATCTAACTGCATTTACATGCTTTCAAATGGCTAGGTTGGCAGGAGCTGGGGCGAATAACAATCACTTTGTCACACGGTATTAGCATTCTATGTGCCTTCGGCATAGTCATGCTGGCCACATGAACTAAGGAGAAACTTCCTGACAGTTAGAACAATTAACCAGTGGAACAACCTGCCTCCAGAAGCGGTGAATGCTCCAACACTGGAAGTTTTTAAGAAGAGACTGGACAGCCATTTGTCCGAAATGGTGTAGGGTTTCCTGCCTGAGCAGGGGGTTGGACTAGATGACCTCCAAGGTCCCTTCCAACTTTACTATTATTATTATTATTATTATTATTATTATTATTATTATTATTATTATTATTATTATTATTATTATTATTATTATTATTATTATTATTATTATTACCACAGAAGTGTCGTGGGACATTGCTGGCTCTTCAGCTGAGCACCCACCCCTAGAACTGATAAGACTGGCAGGGTAAACTTTTACTTTTTTACCTTTATCCATTAAATTGGATGGTATTTTTGCCTTTGGTCTCACCATTGCTATACTCCAAGGCATTTGAAGTAAAAAGTAGCCTGTGAAAGATTTATGGGGGGAGGATGGGAGCTAGATCTGGATGCTATTTTGTGCCAACAAAGAATCCCATCTGGTCCCCCTATTAATAGTAAATATTGTACTAATAATGATTTTGGATGTTGTACCTGATTGTACCATGCTAGGTGATAGCAGCTGAGGACCTACCTTTTTCAAACTGTTAGGATAAAATAATTTGTCTAAAAGGTTTAAAAAGTTAATAGTCTAATAAGCTGAATGAGTCAGTTGCTTCTTGCTGTCAAGGATATTCCTGCATGAACTCGGCTGAAGTTACCCAGACACTCAACAAGGCATTGTTAGATAAGAATCTTTATTGCACATTAGAATGGAGATGCTTTAAGCAGTTGATGGCTCATTGTCAACATACCTCCCCCTATTAATGCCCTCTGCAGTTTAAAGCCATAGAAACAGATGCTTCTTTTTCTCACATGCTCCACATCGTAACAGCTTGCTTTGAGTTTCTCATACTTAGTGCTAGGTGGCAGTTGTTGATAGGATAATTGAAATTCCTGCTCAGAGAACCTCTAATGCAAAATGTAACTGCAACACCCCAGGTTCTAGTAAAAAGTCTATAAAAGTGGATTTAAATTGATTACAGCTTCTTCAAAAAACAGTTTGTTAAAATGATTTCTGTTTAAATTTAAGTATCAAATTTGTTCTTGTCACCAAGAAATTATTAGGCAATTCTATGTATTCAGATGTCTCGCATGTTAATAACAGTAATATATTTTTAAGATGTGCAAGTTACTAAGAAACATTTTCTGGAAAGAACAAAGATTTTCCTAATCCTAATTATTATCAGCCTGTTTGGTTATTGTTTAAACACAATTTTTTTCCAAGCATAATTCTCACAGAGCCCTCTTTATCAAGGATGAACTGGAGTTACATGAACAAGTATATGCAGCACCAGAACAATTTTCTATTTAGAAACCCATGTACATCAGAATAGAGACTTTCTGATTTTCTAACAGCATTCCTATGCTTATGCAATGCAGAAATTTGCCTCTGCTTGTTTACATGCCATTATCAGTGTAGAAAACAACTATTACACTTACTTTAAAATGATATAGATTATAATTTACCTTATTCAATTTTATTATTGGGCATGTTTTCTAAGTATGTGACCCCTTTGGCATCAAGTTGTTTGTTTTTTAGCTCATAAGCAAGCTGTGTTTTCAACAATAACATTTACAAGACACATTGGAGGAGGCTGGGACTGAAGTATAAATTTATATTCTGAGATAATTCTACTCTGAAAATTATATATAAATATATTTTATAAGGGTGTGCAGAAATGCATGAGGATGCAAAGGTGTTGCAACCAGGCTCAGGGAGGATTCAGAGGGGTGCGAGAGAGCCATAGATGCATCGGTGTGGGTGGTGGAGCAAGGTTCAGGGAGGGTACACGAAGGAGGCATGGTTAGACTTGGGGAGGGTATGCAGGAGTGTGCAAGGGCCAGCACGGTGCAAATGCAAAAGGACTGGAGGAGGGTGTGAAGGTGAGTGTGTCTTACCCCAGTGCCTTGGACCTTCCCTGCCAGCTTCTCCTTTGACTTTCTGGGAAAGCTACCAGGGAAGGTCACAAACACAGGTAGTCCTCGACTTACAACAATTGAGGCCAACCTTTATTTTGTTAAGTGAGACATTTGTTAAATTAGTTTTGCTCCATTTTACAACATTTCTTGCCACAGTTGTTAAGTGAATCACTGAAGGGGTTAAGTTAGTAGCTTGGTTGTTAAGTGAATCAGGCTTTCCCATTAACTTTTCCTGTCAGAAGATCGCAAAAGGTTGATCACGTGACCACCGGATATAGCAACGATCATATATGTGGACCAGTTGCTACGCATCTGAATTTTGAGCACATGACTATGGTGTTGCTGCAAAGGTTGTAACTGTGAAAAATGGTCAAAATGGTCATCTTATTCATTGCCATTGTAACTTTGAACGGTCACTAAATGAACTGTTGTAAGTCGAGGACTACATAATCATATGATCATATAATCACGGGCACTGCAATTGGTCGTAAGGATATTCCAGTTGCCAAGCACCCAGTTCATTATCACATCACTTCAGAGGTGCTGGGAGGACTGAAACTCAGAAGACTGATCATAACCATCATTCCTTCAGCGCCACCATAACTTCAAATAGTCATAAGTCAAGGACTATAGGTACTTGTAAAGTTTTTAAAGGTTATGTATTTTCTTATGATTTTAAAATAAGACTAATTCAACAACACAAAAAATATTGTTTATGGACATCTATGGAGATTCTCAGTCATCCAGCTCATGGTTGTCCCAAAGGTGCTTTTCAAAAGGCAACTGGATTTTGTGTTTTTTTCTTCCCCTTGAAGACCTTTCGCTTCTCATCCAAGAAGCTTCCTGGATTCTTCAGTCAGAACTGAAAAAGCTTCTTGGATAAGAAACAAAATGTCTTCGAGGAAAAAGCAAAGACAGTCCAGTTGCCTTTTGAAAAGCACCCTCGGGACATTATTTATGGACACTGCAAAATGTTTAGAAAGGGTTAGCTGTCAATTTCATTATGCCAGAAATGCAAAGCAATCGGGGAGGACTTGATAGAACCCTCATCTATAATGTGGGTTCGACCCACTACTGTCCTGTTTTAATTTAATATTATTAAGTTTGTTAATATGGTTTTGGGAAAATGAATGGGTTTTAAAATATGCTATTAAATTAAATACTGAAAATATGAAATACGTTAATATACAAAGAATATGAGATGTAGCAAAGAAGCTTATTCTGTTACAGTTAAAAAAAGATCAGACTGGGCTTAAAAAAGATGATGATGCTTGCTCTCTGTTTATGAACTGGCTCTTTATTAACATAATGAAAAGACTGACCAATAGTACTCTATGTGGATAAGGGTTAATGCTGCCTTAAAAATGAGTTATTTTCTGTAGGTCTGGGAATATACTTTGTTCTCTTTTTTTTCTTTCCTTTGTGGGTTGTTTTGTCCTTTTTCTTCTATTTCTGTACATTCAATTTTAAAAATATTGGAAGATTCAGCAACAGATAAAGGAGGACGTAACTGGGATACAAGACCTCACCAAATCTTCTTCTGAATAGGTATATAAAAGTATGAAAGTGGGTAGAAGATAAGTGTCCATTGCAGGGGTCTTCAAACTTGGCCCTTTTATGACATGTGGACTTCAACTCCCAGAATTCCTCAGCCAGGCATGCTGGCTGAGGAGTTCTGGGAGTTAAAGTCCACAAGTCATAAAAGGGCCAAGTTTGAAGACCCCTGGTCCATTGTAACCCAAGCCCTGTTCTCTCTGAATTCATGTACTCATTCCGCAGGATAGAAGAGTTGCCTTCACTTTGCTTAAACCCAAGCCTAGTTGTGTGTGAGTTAGAATCCTAACATTTCAGATAGATTGTTTCAGTTTCAGATGGATTCAATTCGGTGACCCAAATAATTGCCTTTGCAAAGAAAATCAATGACAAAGTTCAGAACTGTACAGTAGGGCTAGGTCAGGAGTCTGCAACCTTGACAACTTTTAAGACTTGGCTGAGGAATTCTGGGAGCTGAAGTCCACAAGTCTTAAAGTTGTCAAGGTTGCAGACCCCCTGGGCC